TTAAATATACACTACATTGTTTTGATGTGTGCCAGTATGTAAGTTTTAAGGACTAAATGGTAAAAAGGCAATGAAAAGAAAACAAGATATAGAAAAAGATGGAATAAAAATAAAGTGAAGTAAAACATTAAAAAATGGAAAATTAAATAAAAAATACGCTAGTCCTATTTCAAATGGTTTTCAAGAAGATTGCTTTTCATTAACGTATATATTTTTAAACTTTAAAAAGTTTAAGTAAACTTTTCGCATATTTCTTTCAAATCAATAATAGGAAGGAATTAATTCAATGCATTTTGCATTTTGTAGCATTTTTTAGACTTATTTTTACATCAAACAGATTACCACATCAAAAAACCTATCAGCGTCAACTTATTTACATCAATTATATATATTTTTTAATAATGATGTAACAAAGCTAGTAGTAAAAATAAACCGAAAAAATGCATCAATACTATACTATATTTTTTCTCTTTCTCGCTCTGCTTAGTTTAAAACTAGATAGCGTTGTGTGTTAGATGTCCGAAAAATATTATTATAAATACTGCACGGATGGTGTAGTGGTTTAAGCGGTCGCCTCGCCGCTTACTACTACGCTGAGTGTTGCGGGTCGGATCATCACATGGGACGACACTTTGTGTGATCCACATATTGTTGTTCTGAGTCTAGGTGTTTTTTGTGTCTGTTTCATGTATGTTTATAAAGACCAGCGCGACACAGGAATGTAATCCAAATGGGGAAGTGTTTCTTCTGAGATTATAATGATCTGATATATCAAATTACCAGTTTTTGTGCAGCCCGTCAGGCCAGCGTGGTATAACGATATACATATTGTGTATATATCGCTTTCACAAACGAGCTGTGACTAGAATAGTAGGTTAAGTTATTAAAAACTTCCGCTTTTCAAATATCAGCGAAGCGTCAACGAACTCCAATAATTAAATTTTTAGGTGACTATTTTGCTGTGCAATTAGTATTTTTGATTAGGATTGGATTTTTTTTTCATATAAAAAGGAAGGTTTTCTTATTTACAGCTAAAAGCTAAACCCTTTGTTACGTTTTACTTACCTAGTTACACGTGTAGTTGTACGCCCCTGTGCTTTGGCCCTACGTGTTTTGGCGGCGGTGGTCGCTTTCCATCAGGTGACCCTACTACTCGCTCGCCCCCTCTTTCATGATAAATATTATTTTTTTTGGATGGTCTTAATTTTTTATAAACGTTCTTTAAATCGGGGGCGATTTTTTCAATAAATGAGTAATAACAAAATAGAAAAAAAAAAAAATTTTTAAACTGTCGGACAGAAATTAATTATTTCTTAACTTAATGGAGTACTGTCGACATTCAACTATCATCATCATAATCAACAGCTTTTACTAGTCCACTGTTGGATATGTCCTCTTAGAAAGGAGATTTTGGCCTACTATACCGCGCTGGCCAGACGGGTTGGTAAAGGGTTTGTTTCAAGTTTTCCTTCTCTTTGCAGTGCTGTTGTTCTGCGTAGTTTATCCCTTAGTCGGCTCTTACGACACCCACGGGTGGTGACACTATGCATTCTTAATCCGTCACCACACGGATAGGCGATTCAACCGGTGACTAACAATCGTAATTAAGTAATCAAGGATAATAAAGTTAATAAAAAAATAATTTAAATAAAAATCAATTTTTTTATTTTATAAATTCACATTTATTATTCCAAATCAATTTTACATCACAAGAAAAAGATCACATAATAATAGTGTATTTATATTCATACGAAATCCTGTAAGTTAAGAACTTAAGAAAACATACTTTCATACCCTAGTGTAACACAATACTTTGTTACATGGTACAATATTTGTCATTATTTACAAAAAAATCGTAAATCCAAAGACAAATTGTGTACTAATAGTCAGTTGCGGTACAATGACGGCACTAAAAGGTTGGTTCCGAATACATTATATGAACATTTGTAATACGCTGGCCCTACAAGTAATATATCAGTAATATATAAGTAATAGTCAGTGCATAATATACATAGATACGATACTTTTTTTTACATTTAAATAAACTTTATTGCATTTTACTCATTTAGTAATGTACTTTAATAGTACAAGAGCTGTGAAATGTTTTTACACGCTTTATATTAGCTTCACTTGTATGTTTTATGTTTGTATGTTTGTTTGTAACCTACTCCTTTGGGCGTGATTTTAACTGACTTTAAACGGTCAGAATTCGTTCAAACTTTGTAGATATATCAAGGACCGATGGCAATACACAAATTTAAAAAAAAAAAGTAAAATAAAGAATTAAAAGAAGAAAATAGAAAATCAATTTTAATAAATTTGAAAAAAAGCGTGGAGTGCTTTTTACTATTGACAACAGGCACCCAATGCTTTTTTCAAATTTATTAAAGTTTATTTTCTATTTTTGAGTTTGGTTTTCTATAAAAAGCGTGTTTTTTAGTTTTTTAAAACTATTATTTTTAATCATAAAATGAATCAGCGTTATTGATTTTTGGTCGTTTTTATTGATTTTTTGGTGCTAAGGTGTAATAAATATCTATTACTTATAGACCATATTTTTTTTCAAATATCCATAGAAGACCAACCTTTTAGGAACGTGTAGTTCATGCTTGTAAGGAAAATATACATAATTTTTTTCTCAATTTAATACTTTTTATGTATTGCAGTAATTTGTTTTTTTTTTCTCTTTAAAGCATTTAGAAATGTTTTTACTATTTATGAAACATATTTTGAGTTTTGTGTAAACATTGCTTTGATAAGAAAAGCAGGTCCTAATTGATATAACCATAATAAAATGCTGTCAATTTGTCATTTATATATGTTTGTTATGACTAAATTTAATTTGAATTTATCAGAAGAAGATTTGTAGGCGTGTTGCTACAACCAAATATAGACCATTTTTTTTTCAAATATCCATAGAAGACCAACCTTTTAGGAACGTTTTTTTGACCCTATGCTTGTAAGGAAAATTATAGCTACATCAATTAATAATATAAATAATTACCAGAGCACTACCCTTTTAATGCAGTTGCTCTACAAATTAGAACGAAGGTGAAGACAGAGCAGACTTACAAATCTATTTTCATACATTTCAAAATCCGGTAATAAATAGCAAAATTGGTATTATATTTTGTAATTTCTTCACACCGATCATGGATTGAATCAGTTTCTTATAAATATTTATATGTATGTATGTATGTTATGTAACATTTTTTCCACAGTTATCTCTGTTATACCCAAAAATATGCAGACACCTAAATGATCTGACACCCAGATGTATCATATTTTTTTCATCAATAAGCACTAAATGTTGAGTCACAATTTTCTTAGGATTACGATTTTTTTCGGAAAATAATTAATTATTTAATCAATCATAAGACAAAAATCAGATATAATCGGGACGTAGGAAAATAATAAGGTATCTTTTATATTTTCGTATTATTGTTCGAATAATATCTAAAACGGTAAAAAATTTAAAGTTTACAAACAAAAATAATAACATGTATTTTTACACTTTATTTGCTTACAATTGTTGTGTTTACATAAGAAATCTTAAATAAAAAGCATTTCTATAAAATGTTAGTACAACCTGACAATATTCGTGGTAACTATATTTAAATACAATTTATGTTCTTCTGCGAAAATCTTTGTAAAATCTAATCCAGATACTATAATTAAAAAATATTACAATCAAACACACCTACTTGTAATATTTTTAAATTTAATTATTAAATCTTAAAAACAATTCAGTTAATTCTAGTCACGAAATTTGGTCTGTTTAAACTCAATGAAAATTATAACTATTTTATATTTGATAATTACATTATTTAACTTAAAACGTACAGTTTAAGAATAAAAACAGTTAATTGAAAATTGAAATTAATTAATTAACTAAATCAGATTGAATTTGATTAGGCCGACTGAGAATAATGTTATTTTTAAAATTAAAAGTGTAAAAGAAAAAAATATTATCACGTTAAGTTATAATATTTATACATTTTATATATTTTACATTCAAACAACATAGCTTTTCCCACACGAGGAAGCAATCAATAAATCGAGATTACTTTATTTTATCAACAATCCGAGGATATAAACACACATTTCTTAACATCTTTACATTAGTTTACACTTTACAAGTGTAACAAATCTCTTTTACACACATTTTTTTTACCCGTTATCTTTAATTCTCAAAAAAATCAAACAATCAAATTATAATTATCATTTGTAACATAAAAGCTCGATTTTGTGACGATATTTAATTATTATAATGAATACACACTATTAACTATTTAACTAGTATGGCAACGTTTCGTTAAACATACTTTATTTACAATATTTACATTCACAACGAATCTAAGTTTATTTTACCTACAAAGTCTCATTATGCAGTTATTATTTTTTAAATAACTCCATCATTTTAGAATTGAACAAATTCTAAACAAAATACAATCTGGTTATCTATAAATCGTATAATTATATGTTGTTGATTATTTAAAATGTATTTTAATTAACAATAATATTATTGATAAATTACAACTGTAATAGAAAGTGAAATAGCAATTGTTTTTATCTAATCGTGTGTACATGTACACAGCTTCAGTCTTATACATCTTGTGGAAGATGCAAAACTAATTTATGACCTACTTTTCGTTTTTTCAAATTGACATTAATCATTTATTCCATAAATGTAGTAATCATAAGTTAAAGTTAAAATCTTCTGCCAAAAATGAAAACTAATAAATAATAATTGGTAAAAAATGATTCGTAAAAAAATTGTTTGAAAATACAATAAATGATTCAAACGGACGGGCCTTGAAATTAATTTTGCTGAGTATTTATCACATTAATTACACTTTAAAAATGTTGAACCACATTGTCTGTCACTCGCTGTCAGGCCAATTTAAGTCCAGGCCTACAAACGTTTATCAAATCTAGTTTTATTCCACGACGCACTATCAGCAATAGTTCAATTCTAGTGCGCTAGCTTAATATTTATTTCAGTCACAATCTTTGCTGACTTTCGCATGTTCTAAGTTGGGGTCAGTAGGTTTAGCCATACAGGAAGGCTTTGTCTCGCTCTGCAGCTGTGTTGGCGAGTTTGCTGCAAACAAAATGGTCAATATTTAATTAAGTTGAATACAGCACGTGTCACATCTGTATGCACAAAACATACTTCATATTTTTACATTACATTATTATTCCGAAGCAGAGTATGGTTCCTGACAAATCTTGCCACCTGCACATAAGATAAACATATATTAGGACCAAACATAGAATATTAATATATTACCTAATTTAAAAATTTAGTGTAGAGAGTAGAGTAGTGAAGTTGTAGTGAAGTTAGTGCTTGCCAAGTAGCTATGAACAGAAATAAGTAGGCAAGCCTACCAAGGCATATTCTCTATGTTAAAAACTATCTGTTGAGAATAAATTCGTTTTTCTTCTAAGAGTCTTAATGCAAGTGCCTTTACAAAATTGGCACTGCACAGCACTTCAAATAAAAGTTCTCACGTAGGTTTGTATTTACAACTTGATAAGATGAACCTGAACCGCTGCGGTTTGCCAGGCATTATCACCTCGTCTGGTTGTAGGATCCTCCCTTTGTGTTCAAGAGACATAACACACGCGTCTCGCTCGCTCTGTCACTGATCGACGATTGAATAAACGAACGAAAATCGTTTAATAGTAAAAGTGTGGCAGAGTAAAAAGGAAACAAGTTAACACAAATTCTCATTTATAATGTTAGTTAGAAATTCCCCTACTCATAAATTCATTTATATTTATTTATGGTAATAGATTTCGAATCGGGAACAACGCACAAGAAGCTTAGCCATATAAATCGAAAAACCATTTCCATGTTACAAATACAACAACGATTTATTACGGATTTAAGAGGAAAACCGCATCGTACGTTACAAAACTCACTGAAATATATTTTACAAAGATACACCATTTTTGGTGTAATTTCGTGCTTTTCAAAGAATTATGAAACATAATTATATTAATTTTTATGTTGAATTACATACTTATAGTAATAAAAATAATTTAATTAGAAGACATTTTAAGCTGCTACTAAATATTTAGCTGAAAGTTATTTCAGACCCATCATCAAAGGTATTATTAGTGATACCATTTATGATGGGACCGAAATAAAAACTATTTAATATAACTTTAAAAAGATAAGCGAAGCCACAAGATGTTAGTACCGTGTGGCTTCATTTTCGGAAGTTTTTCCTTACACTTTGTATTTTGGAATCATCATCATTATCAGCCTATCGCCGACCACTGCGGAAGGGAGGTGTCCCCCAAAGAGCTTCAACTATCCCAGCCTTGAGCAGCCCGAATACAATTATTATCATCACCGTCAACAGCATACTAATATATCTACTAATACTAATCCACTGCTAGACATAGGCCCCGCCTTAGAAACGCCTGCTATACCCAGCTGCCCAGACGGGTTGGTATTGGGTGTGTTTCAAGTTTTCTTTCTCTTTGCAGTGCTATTGTTCTGCGTAGTTTGTTCCCTTAGTGAGCTCTTACGACACCCACGGGATGAATAGGGGTGGTGACATTCCGTATTCTTAATCCGTCACCACACCGACAATGATTATAATAATATAGATTTTATTAATGAAACGATTTACTTACTGTTTATTCTAGATTTCAAATGTGGTAAAGTATTAGTGGTTCTATCCATTACACCCTTACTGAAGTACACACTATTGTTCTCCGTATTAAATCTGACTGGTGGGGAATTGGAGCAACTCCTCGAATCGGCGACCAGAGACCGAGGTTCTAGGTGGTACCTGGGCTCTAGTTCGGGCATTTGAGTCAGATTTAGAGGGTTCCTGTTAGGGTTGCTGTAGAGTGATGGTGGTGGCGGTGTTGCGTATAATTCAGGCGGCATAAGTTGTTCTGCTGGTAGCTAGAAGAAAAACACAATATTAGACTAAGAAACTTTTTCTCCAGTTTCTTAACTACGAAAATTTAAAGTCTATTTATATTCTTCTCTTATTTCAATTATATTTCTTGGGTTGCAAGTGTCATATACATCGTAATCACTTATTATCAGGTGATCCGGTTCTTCGGTTGTCTTCATTACAAAAAAAAAAGTTGAAGTTCCACGACGCCAGACGCCTCCACATAAAGAGATATCGCTTAGCTCTGGGTGGGGATAAAATCTTTATTAGAAATAAATTCGAGAAAAGTCCTTAACCCACGGAATAGGCAGACATTTCGAGATAGTGTCTGGGAAGATCCTTGTGTAACAATACCTAACTTGGAAGCTACTGGTACATAGAAAAGAAAATAAAGGAATGTAAAATTGACTCAATCACAACAATAACAGAATTTTGAAAGGTTCAAGTCTGCAAAATATGTGGGTTACCATGTGTGCCTGACGTTAGTCGTAGTAACTCATTTCAAGCCAAGAAGAACGGATATTGAACGGTTAATTCTTCCTTTTGTACATATCACCAATGTACGTGACATAACATACAATGGAGAATACGCTTTTGTGCGACGTGACTTTGCTTTAATGAAAACTTATTTATTGAGGAGCGACAGTCAGTTCTAGTGGTTAGTGGCCCTGACTACTAAGGCAGAGGTCGTGGGTTCGATTCCCACCCAGGACAAATATTCTGTCAAGAGCACGATCATTTGTTCTGTGTCTGGCTGTAATTTATCTATTAAATGTTTATCAGCAATCTGGTTACTATAGTATAGGCTCTGCCTAGTTTGGGATCAGATGGCCGTGTGTGAGATGTGTCAAATTATAAAAAAAAACTACAAGCATTGTCGACTAGAGAAAGAGCTCTTTATGCTCTTATAGCTCTCTTTATGCTCTTTAAGCTCTTTATGTAATATAAAGAGCTAATATTTCATTATAATTTGTTCCATTTACATAAAAACATTTTTTTTTATGTAAATGGGACTTCACAATAATCTTTTTTCATTTATATAGATCAATTTTTGTAGTTCCAGAGATTAGTGCGTTGAAACACGCAATAAAACTCCTCAAATATATTTTATAAGTGTTTACGGAAATGTATGTCGGTTATCGCGGTAAAAATTAGCCTCTTACTCGCTGATAATGTAGCTTTCCATTGGTGAAATAATTTTTAACATCGGTTTAGGCGTGAAAGCTAATAAACAAACAGGCTTACTTTCACATTCATAATACAAGTATGGATTCAGGAATTTAAAGAAGGTTAGAATTCTTGATATAAATAAAACAATACACATACATTACTTACCAAACCACTCGTATTCAGCGGTAAAGCGTTCTTGTACTTCAACCAATCTTCGTACACCTTGTCGTACGGCTGTCTGTGACAATCATTTGGTCCAACATTCGGCATATGCAAGCTGCTCATTGGTCCCAAACTCTGTATACTCGGCCCTAAATTCGGCATCGGGGCAAGCGTTGGGGCGTATTGCCGTCTGTATTCCATTGGCCGCACTTGAATATATTGGTTGCAAGGGTCTAGGTTGTGGTCGTAAAAACGGTCGCAGTTAGAAATATCGTATTTGTCTGTCGTCTTCGATATGAGAGGTCGTATTGAACTGTAGTCGGTAGCAGAAGATTTATTTGAACAGTTGTCGCTTATTTTCCCGTCTAGCGGTATAATATCTGGGTTTTTATCTGCGAAGAAAGATAATAAATTCCTTTTAGTGGTAGCTATCTGTTTTTTGTTGGTTTCCAAGTGGAAATTTATATGGTCGAGTGAACTTTATGTTTTTGGAAGGACTGGTATTACAAGTTGAGCAATTATTGCCAGTTCTATGGTATGAATTATATAAAATTAGTAATAAGAAGTATTTTTACGCTTACAAAAATACCTTTATAGAACTATGTTAACAATGAAATTATGGAATCGATACTTAAATAGCCTATATTTATGAAGACACTTCTAATACAATTGATATATTTAATGAATATATGATTAACGCTGATCTTGGTGATTGGCGCTGTTCAATCTAAATTATCTCTATTATTTCGTCGACTGAGCTGACCTAGGCTAATTGGCATGGGGTACGGTTATCTTAATATCAGCTGTTCCCGGAACCCTCCTAACTCAGGCGCGGAGTGGCACACCGTGTGGTTTTAGTAGGTTCGATTCCCACACACCGCCGCAAATCCCGGTGGGTGACGGTCCGAGGGGGTATCTACACGTAAAGAAAGACCAATTGGCATAGTTTTAGTGTGTCTAAGGGTCTGTAAAATGGGAATAATGTGTGAGTTTATGTATGTATGCATTTTTCAATTTTAACTTCTTACCGCTCTGATTACAAGTATCTACCGCTTTTTTAAATCAGATCTTTTAAAAAAGGGCATATGTCTAAAATATCATTTCGTCCCGAGTAAAATATTCTTCATATTCAATTAAAAAAAAGTATGGTTCATTTAAAAGTCGTAAAATCATTCGACTCTAAGCAGATAAGCCTACTAATCGAGAAACATCCAGATATCTTAGTCTATAAAAAATAATATGCGCCGAAAACTTCACTCTATTTGAAAATAAAAGACAAACTAACATTAAAAACCACTATCCGTTAAATCGAATATCAATCAAAAAGTTTCGAACCTAAATATAAAACTTACCCAAGCGAAAGTAATCACGATAACTTAAAGTAATTCAAAATTGAGGCGATTTTCAACAAAAGATATTAGATTCTCTCTTCATGATATTCTTCTATAAAATGTACTTCATTCTAAACATTTTTCGTTATTACAAACATTTTTCACAGACCCTTTGTCCCTATCATTTTATAAAAGCTTAGAAGGTCATAGTTAAGTCTAGTTTTATCTCGTAAATAGACCTTAAAGTCTTGAGGCCAAATAGTATTCAAATTACGGAGCTTTGATGCTGGAAATTCAGTAAAATATTCATGATCTCATCAGTATGGGTCAGCCTATATCGCATTTATAACGAAACCAGTTTAGTCCCGAGCAGATTTAGTGGTTGAAGGGTTAATTCTTTTCATATTACTAAGGTTATTTTCCGCTTGAGCTATTTATATTTAAAAGATGGAGAAAAATATACGTATAAATATTCCGCTCAAATAGTACTACACTTATTAGATATGACAGTATTAAGTAAGGACTCTTAACTTTCGCCTCTCATGGTAAATAGTAATAGGTATTGCTGACTGGCTGCTATGATGACGACCAGTACAATCTTGTCAAAACGTTAAAAATAAAAAATGCATATCTATTCTAAGATCGTGTTAACATAAGACATAAGAATGATGAACATTGGATGGATGAACAAGATGGATGAACATTGAACAATGATTGATTTGTCGTTAAATATATATCGCACGGAAATGAAGTTATTATATATATATTATAGGCAGGCGAAAATGATAATGACATTTAAAGGATAATTATAAACTATAATATAAATTGTCTGCCAATATACATGATGATTGTGCAGAAGACTCTATCGTCCATCAACAGTTTCCTATTTTGTATTGGAAGCCTTTACAGATTCTGAAACATGGTCACTAATGTCTCCAGACCATGTGAATTTTACGACAGAAGCGTAACAGTATCATCAATAATTACTCAACTAGTAACACCTAATGAGAGTTTTTTTCTGGATAAAAGGCGCTTTACGTCCTTTGTCGTGTGTGTAACATTAATCTGTTTGAATATACTTACCCAAACTATCCACACTTTCAGATTCCTTTGTTCCAGTTAGAGGTATGTTCGATGTCTCATCTTGTTGTCTTTTGTCCTTCTCATGTTTACCTTCGAAAAGAAAAATTATTATTATCATCAATTACCCTCATTCTCAACAGCCTTTAACAGTCCATAGCTGGACATAGGCCTTTCCTTATAAAGGAGATTTTGGCCTACTATACGACGCTGGCCACACGGGTTTCTTTCAAGTTTTTTTTCTCTTTGCAGTGATGTTGTTCTGCGTAGTTTGTTCCCTTAGTCGACTCTTACGAAACTTACGCGATGAACAGGGGTGGTGACACTCCGTATACTTAATCCGTCACCACACGAATTAATATTATTATACATTATCTACTTATATTATCTTATAATATTATGCTGTGTGTATATTATGTATGTAATATTGACTGGTCTAATTGGTCTAGTGGCTAGTGAACCTAACTGCGAAGCCTGAGGTCGTGGTTGAGATTCCCACTCAGGTTCTTGGGTGTAGCTTATCTATAAGATGTATGTATTAAAAAAAAGTAGGTAAGTATGTTTATCCAGCGGTCTGGTTACCATAGTACTAGGTCTGTCTCGTTTGGGATAAGACGGCAGTGTGTCAGATGTGTTAAGTGTCAAGTTATTATTATTATTACAATTATTGTAATAACACAGGCAGTTCCTTTTCCTCATTGCATAAAGGTTACAGGATATTTCAGAATCAAGAACGGATACCCTTTAAAAGATCACCTTTGCCAGCCTGTGTAAGGTAGGTGCCGTGTGAAACATTAAGTTTAGTCAAATATTTTTTGTCGGTTTTGTACGAAACAGATGGCGATTGATGTTCTCTGTCGAGTGCAGACTCGAAGGAAACAAATGATTTACACTCTATGGGCGTAGTTGGTCAGTTCGTGTAGCTCGTTAATACGTAGTAGAGTTCGGAACAAATGGGCCACCTCCACCATGGTGACACCACGGCAACACAGAAAACGTAAGATACGTATTTATTTCGTTACTTTCCAGCGAGTGAGTGCGGTCACCAGAGTCCAAACTCCTTCTCCCCATGACTCTGAGGGGAGGGCTAAATTGGCGGCAACGCACTCGTGACTTTTGGAGTAGCATGTGTACATGTAGTGTTGGTAGTTACTAACCGTCAGGTGACCCGTCTGTTTGTTTGACCTTCGAGACTTCCAGAAAAATTCCAGTTCCCAAGGTATTTATGCTACTAATTTATGTCACAATAAAATGTATAGTTAAATGGTCTTGATATAATTACATTCAGTAATAGTTAAATGAAAGTTATGTTTTTAAATTTATAAACCTCTGACTATATCTCTGCATCATATTTCAATAATACATTTAATGCTTCTTAACTCACGCTACGTTTATTTAAAAATGTAATAAAATACCATTTTATTACAGTTTCAATATAGGTTTTAATGTTTCATTGAATTTACTGTGTAAATAGGCTTTATGAAACTAGCTATGTTTAAATTTGATGCAGATTTCTATTTCTGAATAACTTTTTTTTCGTTTTATCGATTTTTTTATTCCATTTTAATGTATTTTTTTATACCGACGAGTCCGGACATGCGGATATTTCATCTATATTCTTATTTTCCGTTATTTACAGATTCAGTACCTCAAGGTATTTCTTAAAAAAATATTATTTATATCATTATAATGTGTACGATAACGAATTTTTTGATTTAATGTCAGCGTTTAACGTTATTCTGACAATGATTCTGTTGTACAACCCTAAAACACCTTCTTCAGTACCTAACATAAACCTCTAGCATTACTTACGATCTCTTTTATTGCAGTATTTGCAGCAGAAGACAGCTGCAGACACAGCTGTCATAGCAGCAATAACACCAACAGCTCCCAGGACTATTATGAGCACTGTGGTCAATTCCACCTTCACAGGAACTTGAGCTGTTGGGTAAATGACTATTTTAAATAAAATATTTGATCTTCCTAGGTCGGTATTAGAAGCATCAACTTGAAAATAGGTTTTGTCAGATGTTTATTTGTTTCTTATACAACAAAAGTATTGGTTGTTTTAAATAATTCTAAAATATTGATAAAGCTTTGATTTAACTTATATTTTATAGTATATAATTATTTATATGAACGAGAATCTACTCGATCACGTAAATACATATAAGGAATGTAATAACAGATAATTCATAAGATAATTCATAGGCAATCGCCTGACGTTGACATTAACCACTTGTTGCAGGCGTTCATGGGCCGCGTTGGTCAGTTTGCTAGTTTGCCTCCTATATGATAAAAATACCTTTCGACCAGATCGCACTGCCCGTAGTCATAAGCTGGTAAGTATTATCATATATCATGGAACACGAGAGTTAAAAAAAAATGCATTATAGAATATATTTCCACTGATACAATTGTCGTTAAAAGTACTTTTGACTAAGAGCGTTAGTCAAAACTAATTTTAATCATAAATTTGTAGTCAAACGGTCAAAATATTCAATCTTTTTTTAAATTTACATTTAAACATAAATATGTGAGAAGACATTAAACTAAGCAGTTTGGAACTTACCTGTATGTCGTTGTGGGTATTTCAACAGACTAGATGTTAACGTCATAGCTTCGCTGAAGCCTTTTCTATTGAAAGCTCTCACTGACACAGCCAAGGAGTTGCTGGCTGACAATCCTGATACTTCGAACTCAGGATCATCATTGCTGACATTGCGGAGGAGGAGCCCTGTAGCCATATCGAATATCTGCGAGAAAATAATACACCTTCTTCAGTGCGCGTACATAAATGTCTCCTTGTGGTGACCGATTACTTAACATCAATCAAACCCTATATGAACTCGTCTGGTCAGCGTCAGCGTCCAAAACCTCCTTTCTAAGGAAAGGACTATGTCCAGCAGTGGACTACTAAAGGCTGTTGATGACGGTGAAATAAATTATTAAGATCGATAATCAAACTACTGCTTTCAAGGCGAAAGCTTTCGGAAACGGGTGGTTTTTGATTGACAAATGTAGACACAGAGTTATCTGTTATCCATTCTTTTAAAATTTTATATTTGAAAAGCAAGCCATTGCTGCAGAGACTCTGTTTGTGTTAATTTATAATCTTAAACAACTTTATTTATTAATGTTGTCCATTCATTTTCCATTTTATGAAATTTACTGGTAATTAAAGTTTTATTATGAATTTAAATGTAATGTTGAATGGAATCCTCTTCTTCCTACGACTCTTTCCCAATTTAGGTTGGGGTCGGCTTTAAGCCTACTACTGTATGGTATACGGTTAAACTTAGCTTTTTACGCGGAAAGACCGCCATCAGACCTCCACAACCCAAGTCCTAGGCGATATCGAAGTTCTGTAGAAAGACTTGTCGGACTCCTTATGACTCCAACTAGTTACTAGCAACTGAGATCGATGGCTTAACGTGCTCTACGCTCGGAGGGCTAGGAGGGGTCTCACTGTGTTATAAAATGGTCACCCATCTATAGACTGACCTGACTAAGATTGCTGAACTTTGCAATGTGGTAATCTACTCGGTTACCACTTAGCCACGAGCCCTTTGTGATAATAAAAACCTTTATTTATAATGATAATACAATACTTTAGCGTAAAGTACGCTGCCGTCAGAGTTGTCTCTGTAAAATTTATTGCTGGTACGAGGCCTGACCACTCCGCGACATGGCTATTTACTCCTTGACATTCGGACATTCATACATTACATTAGATTTACATTAAATACATTAGGCACGTTAATAAAACCCTATTTATTTAATAATTATGAATACCACATGTTTTCGAATGACCTTGACTTGGAATACACAGAACACATTTAATTTTATTTGTCATTAAGCGATGGTTTATTTATCATAAAGCGATACTGCGATGGTTAATCCTAAAAAGAAATAGTGTAAGAAACAAACATTTTACATTTTTGCCACCGGTGGATAGCGGCAATTGGTGGCAACTATGTTTACATTAATACTATAATTTAAATTATCAAATATTAACACTAAATTTAACCAGCACAAAGCTATCAAAGTAGTAATGAGTTATTAGTAGCATTCACATTATGCCTACGTAATATGGGATTTAATGAAAACATAATGCTATGTTAATATTTGCAGAATAGAACTCATTTATTTCTCTTAAATTTCTATTAATCTGGAAAACACGTGATCTATTCGCCTATTTAAGCTAATATTGACCTTTTATATAGATCCATGGAATCTTCCTATGATCTACCTATGAGGAAAATTCTTCCTAAGAACATTCTAGAAGATGGCTTGTTTTAACACCAACAAGTGTAGTGGACCATTTTTTTTACGTGTAAATCCTCTCTCGGGCCGTCAACCCATTAGGCGGTGGTGTATCGGAATCGAACCAACTAAAAAGCAAACAGTGTGCCACTCTGCGCCTGAGATAAGATCCGGAAACAGCTGTTATTAAGACATCCGGACCAAGTGTTGCGGACCATGACCTAACCCCTTTCCTATTATGGTGAGGGTATTCATCATCCTACAACGCGTTACCTTTGCTACTTAAATAAGGAGACTGTATTAACATGAGTCTCGTTTTACCAAGTTTCAAGTATATTGAAGATCACTTCCAAAATGTTATTAATAAATTACATTTTTATATTTTGGTACAGTCGTTGTCAAAATAAAATAAACTCTTACCTGTAGATATTCGAAATTAAAAACTTGAGTAAAATTACATACACTCTTTTTTATATTATTTTATTTTATTATATATGTAGCTTGACGTCTTTATCCCCGAAGGGGTAGACACAAGTATATAAGCCGATTTGGTATAACTTTAGTCCCATTTATGTAATAGGTAGTAAGTATATTGCCGTAAACAGGGCACATATATTACTAAATAAACATAGTTATAAAATAGCTAAATTTCTAAATTTATATTTTTCTAATATTAGGTCTTTACTTATGAAATTGGAAACTTGAATAAAAATTTTTATTTTTATTTTTTTATTTTAGTTAATCAAGGTACTGGTCCAAATTATCTGTATATGTTTATCCCTTTACTGTAGAAGTCTGCTGGACGGGAGGCGATAAAGTCAGCAAAAGCGTTTTGTACTGCCTCTCGGGTGTTGAATTTTTTTTCTACTTGAATTTTGAAAAAAGTAGAAATCTGTTGGGGCGATTGCGAAGCTCGTTCTTTAACTCAAAATTACCAGATCCAAAACGATTGAACCAAAAATGGACCCTGTTTAAGCAAGCTGTGTGAGGCCTGTACGCGTTGTAAATGTTTCGTGTTGTTTGCGCAGCGGTATTTCCACGTAGGAACTCTTATTATGAAATTGTAAAAATTTTTAGTTTATCCATGGCGCCAAAAACTACCACAATTTCACAGAAATAAAACACTACCTATATAAAACGAATGACTGAATTTTAAATTTAAATAACATAGCTTTCGAATTAAATTTATTTGAATTTCGTATTGCGGGCAATTCCATAGATCATTAAAGCGGAAAATGCTGGTTTTAAAAATTTCCAATTTAATAGTACACCTATTATTATATAAAGGAAAAATTAGATTTTTTGTTTGCTTGTTGGTTTGTAAGAATATGCTCCGAAACTACGGGACCGATTTTAAAAAATATTCTAAAATATTATAAATGTGAAAGTGATTTTGGTTGTTTGTTTGGTTGTTACGCTTTGACAGTTTAAAAAAAATAACCATTAAACCTATTTTTTTAAATTATTTGCCCAAGGGAAAGATACTTTATAAGCAAGTAACATAGGCACTTACCGCGATAACCGACATACAAAGTGGTGGTGGTGGAAGCTAGTATTTACATATTACGGATAATATTACAAAAATATAATAAAAAATTGAACATTTGGTATGTGTGAGACTGGTGATGTGTAATCAGTGTGAGGCTAAGGTAAATATCTCAAAAATGTGACTACTTACTTCAAGAAGGAAAGCCTGTCGGATTCCACCATCATGTCCCGGCGTGCAGTTCAGTGTCAGAGAGTCGTAAGTCACGTTGGTAATCTCACACGACTTTGGGGCGGAAGGTTTGTCTGTGAAGAATTGCATAATCGTTAATATCTAAAAATATATTTCTTGTATAATATCCTGGACCCATATCAACCCATATCAATGGAGAATAAGGTCTTCAAAGTTCACAAAGGTGTGTATTATGTTAAATTTGTGCTGACCAAAAAAATGTCTTTCAATATTTCAGTTTCAGAACAGAGAACGCAAAATGATTTGCTGCCTAAGGGTGATGAATACCAGCGTTCTGTCTCAATAGAAGTAGCACGGCAAAGAAGGTATTATTAGAGAATACTGCAATCCACAGCTAAAGATTCATGATCAAGTAAAATTAACTAACCAAAAATAATGGTACAGGTACACTACAGTAATAAAAATTCACAATGCAAGACTGACACAAGAAATTACTAAATAGCGTACTGTGACTGTGAAATACCTATTATCAAATCACATCACAGCATCACATCAACAGCCTTTAATAGGCTGGCCATATCAGCCGCAGAACCGACAACCGTTGGGGAAAACCAGTTCTTGAGGTGAGACCGCGTCTCGGCAAACGTAGTGTAGGACATTCACAGGCCAGGTGGAGTGACGATTTGCGCTAGATGGCTGCCAGGAGCTGGATGCAAGAAGCCCAAAATCTAAGTGGCGTGCAATGGGAGAGGCCTATATACAGATGTGGTCTGCGATAGGCTGATGATAATGATGATGATACCACGCTGGCCAGACGGGTTGGTGTAGGGTTTGTGTCAAGTTATCCTTTTACGGATATACGGCTTATACGGATGAATTGAAGAGTGTCGACAATAGGTGTGGTGACGGATTAAGAATACGAAGTGTCATCACCCCCATTCATCCCGTAGGTGTCGTAAGAGCCGACTAAGGAAGGAACTACGCAGCACAACAGCACTGCAAAGAGAAAGAAAACTTGGTTGGTAGGCCGTTGGTATAGTAGGCCAAAACCTCCTTTCTAAGAAGAGGCCTATGTCTAGCAGGGGAATATTAAAGGCTGTTGATGATGATGATGATGATGATAAGACAATAGGTCTGAGGTATAGTGTGGTGCCTGCAACTCGAACTAGATGTTTCTGCGAAATCTGAGCCCATGTTAAACTCCCCTTTAATATTATAATGTTAGAATTTCAAATAATTAAGCAAAACTGTTTCAAAGGTTTGTGTAGATAAAACTGGAACTAGCGATATCTTAAGAACGAAATAAACTATTTAAAATTAAAATAAATGTTCCATCTCTTACCTGCTGGTAGAATATGAAAGAGACAAGGCTTGGTCTGTCGCCCCACGGAGTTAGTGCCAGAACACTGGACCCAACCGTAGTCCGATGAAGTATTGACCATGTAGATGTATGTACCTGGAAAGTATTAGGTCTTACAAAAAAAGAAATAAAATATCGATTTCAAAATTGACTTTATATTATTTTTTTGTTGTATATTTGGTTGTTTGTTTTTGTTCTGCTATTTTTGGTTATTTAATGTTACTGCTTTGCTGTTGCTGCTGCTGTTATTTAATATTCTTAAAACGAAAAGGCACCTTCAACTAAACTGTCTCTCTTAAATATTTTAATCTATCCTAAGGTTGTCTGGAAGAAATTGCTGTTAGCAATAAGGCCGCCCTTTGTACATTGCGTATATGTTAATTTTAAATATAACGTGTATCTTATAAAAATTGTTTATTAATAAAGAAGTTTCTATTAATATATCTATCTATATTGTTAAATTAGTTTATGTATAGAAATTAATTCTCACGTTACGTTAAATATTTTTTAGCCTACCTGGCATATTAGGCACTGTCGTCATCGGTGACGTAGTCAGTTCATGTTTGCTATGCGCTGAGCTGTTGAACCACCAATTGTAGGACATGGCCTCCTGAGGACAAAAAAATAGTTGAAGAAAGAAAAGATAAAAAATTAACGTACTATACACAGGTTTAAAGACGGGTTCTGGAAGTTTCTGTATTTTCTGTGAGTATCAGCCGTAACACTTGTTGTAAAAAGTACTGGTAGAAAGAATCTACTTATTTTGCAAGTTTAAATGGAGCCCAAGTTAGGCCTGTTTTAAGTAAAAAAGTCGCTGCAGCGTTTCAAGTCTCTCAGTACGCACAGTATCATTGAACCCGTATGTTATAAAGCCGCGTCGCAACAATCCACACGGCGCCGCGGGCTATAAAAAATCGTAGTAAAAGTCTGGTCTTAGTGACGCCTTTTTTTTTTTTTTTTTTTTGGGACTAATCCCACCCACACGCCCACCACTGTAACTCCTGTACACCAGGATCCACAGCAGTGACCCACGAACACACCGAGTTATGACACTCGGGAAGTCCCAGGAAGAAATTAAACTGTCTTGGAACCCGCAACGAAATTAATCAGAAGAAAATTGGAGGAGTTGGAAATACAGTAAATCCACTTCCCTCCTCAGCAAAGCGGGAGACAAAATGAAGTAAAATGGGCATACACCCTTTTAAACAGGGAAGCACCACGGCCACAAAATATTACGGGTCCTACATGAGCTATATTTGATTTCTATAATATGTATGGCAGAATCGCCTAAACGCACGGAAATTCACCCTAGTTGACACAAGATCCCCATAGTATACCGCCCCAGATGTCACCTGCAAGCTATTCAGCATTATATTACGTTCATTATACCAAAGACTACATTCCCAGAGGATATGATGAGCAGACTGTTCATAATGAGAGTTAGGTGTTGAGCATTGACACAATGGTGACTCGACTAATTTAAATGAATACAATTTGCTCTTAAAGTTACCATGACCCGTAAGAAATTGAGCGACACAGTGATCCACCTCAAGCCATGTCCTCGACAACCGTTCGCGAACAGATGGAAAAAATTGGTAAAGATGGCGCCCCTTGGATGATTCGTCCCAGCGTTGCTGCCATTCGTCTATGAGGTCATTATAGACATCGGACTGCTGTTGAAGCAATCTTGTAATTTTAACGCGATCGCGCGCGCCCAAGAAATCGCATTCCATGTTTTGTCTTGAATAGTACATGGCTGCACGTCTCTGCACCTCGAGATCGACCGGAAGGACACCCGCCAACACCGGCAAAGCCTCAGTGCTAACCGTCCTATATGCCTTGCACAAAAATATCAGTGCAAGTCGTTGGCCTTGTAACAGTTTGCGACGGACAGCGCCTACGGTTGCCCTATCGGCCCATACAGGTGCACCATAGCACATAGAACCTAAATAAGTAGCTCCGTATATGATCTTTAATGTATTAAATGATAGACCCCATGTCGCAGTTGATATCCTTGTCAATGCACAGAAACTCTTTTTAGACTTTTCATTAACTATTTTAATATGTTCGATAAATGAAAAGTTTCTTTCTAAAACTAATCCTAGATAACACACTGTGGTTTTATTTTTTACAGTAACATTGTCAAATCTAATGCTCGGCGGTGATTTGAGGTTACCTTTTAAAAGTAATTGGAAGGTTTTGTTGGGTGCAAAAGTTAAGCGATTACGTTCACCCCATTGAGATATCAAGTTCAAACATCTATTGGCTAATCTCTCAAGCCCCGCCCTAGTATCAGATTCCACCAGTAATAAGCCGTCATCAGCATACGCGTTCAGAGTACATCCGGATGGTATTGGTATCGTAAGAAAAATCGTCGAAGCCGATATTCCACAAGTATGGACCTAGCACCGATCCCTGAGGACATCCCATTGTAAGCGCCTTCGACACAGAATGATGACCAAGTCTTAGTTTAGTTGTACCTTGTGAAAAGTACGAAGAGATAAGGGAATAAATATTTTTAAAACACCCCCGTGATTTTAATTTCAGCAACAGCATGGGCCACCATGCGTTGTCGAAGGCGCCAGATATATCTAAGAAAATAGCCAGCACGTATTGAAATTTTGACTCTGTGACAAACTTTCTAACCGATATAACAGCGTCAGTTGTCGATTTACCCAACGTAAATCCAAATTGTCTATCATGAAATTTGACTCCACCTGGCAGAAGCCGGGGCACTACAAGACGTTCTAAAAGCTTTCCTAACGATGGTAACAATGTGATTGGTCGGTAGGATTTAGGATCATCCGGTGGCTTGTCGCCACTTTTTGGTATTATACGAATATTACCGCACCGCCATATACGAGGAAATATTCCTTCAGCAATGCAACGTTTAAAGACAGTGAAAATCGTGTCACCCGAAAGTTTACAAGCTTCTTTTATCATTTTGTTAGATATTTTATCATCACCCGAAGCCTTGTTTAGCGGCAAGGATCTAATGATACCGAGAAATTCGTCTGAAGATGGTAAATCAGACATTGGAGACAGTGGTGGTTCGATGGCCCACTGCCTGATCTGTCGGTGATGATCAGTGTCGTTTTCCGGTCGATCGTCAGGTACGAGTGAGTCTAAAAGATATTCTGCTGTTTGTTCTACTCCTGTGGTATATCTGTTATTAATTTTGATGTTCTGTATGTATGCGTGGTCGATTGATCTATTTGCCTTAAATTCGTGATACAAAGGTGACCACGGGCCCTCTCTATCGAGTTTATTAACAAGTTTCTGAATTAAGTTTCCCTTGGATTTTTCCACAGCAGCTCTGTAGTGGGACCTGGCAACTCCAAGAGCAATGAGAGCAATGTTGTACAAATCTCCTGTTACGTTATGTTTTTTAATAGTGTTTAATTTTCTACGAGCTTTCCGGTAGCTTCTACGTAGTTCGGCTAATCTATCATTCCACCAATCACATCTACGAGTGTTAGTGATAGATCCGCGACCAATAGTTACATCAGCGCAGTATGTAAAAGTTTCTGATAGTATTTCTGCGCTTTCCTCAGCTGATAAACTACTGCGACTGAAGTCTTTGGTATGAGTTGCAAAGAGTGACCCAAACAAAGCCCAGTTCGCACCTTTAGTTTTATATCTAAAATTATAGGGAGCCCTTTGTGGATCCTGTGCAACCCTTGGTGTGAATTCGTACACGATCAAGCGGTGATCACTACAGGATGCGTCCGGAAGGACACGCCATCCGGATATCGAGACGTCGCCGCGCGTAAGCGTCACGTCAATAGAAGACTCACCCATTGGGTTGCAAAAAGTTGGTGGTGCATCGGGGGTATTGTGAATAATAAGATTCATTTCCGCAATGAAATCTTCAACCGCACAACGTCGAACCGTGTCGGTTGAACGCAACTTGCCATACCATAATGAAGATGACGCATTGACATCAGCGCCAATGATAATTTTATGTCCCACGAGGAACTGCAAGACGTAACGTAAGTGATGTAAGTGAGGATCAATAGGATGTGAATATTGAAAATAGCAGCTCACTACGTAAACCTTACAGGTAGAGGATGAGATCTCAGCAACGGCGCAGTGTGACGTCATAAGATTACGCAAAGATGTTACCGTAAAATTAGAACTTGCAACATATATCCCAGCCTGCGAACGGCAGTCAAGCTGTACTACATTACGACGCAAGTGAGCGCTCTGATATTGTTCTTGTAAAAGGACAATGTCTAACTTTTGTTCTAAAATTAAACGGTCTAATTCTGATGTAGCTATTTTATCGTTATGAAGATTTAACTGGCCTATCGAAATATTATTCATTACTTAGTAAGTTACTCTTTAAACTTTTTTTAACTAAGTTAAACTATTCAGTAATTGGTATTTAATATCAGCTGTTCCAGTTTTAATTTGTATGTGGCACAGTCGTATGAGCCGCATCGATGGTCAGATGGTTTTTTGAACCGCTTACACTGTGTACACGTGGGCTTAAAATCTGGTGTGTCTTTATCTGGACAAGCTCGCGTTTCGTGTGCGGCGGCGCAATTAGCACAAGTAGGGGTTTTAATAGTGCAAAACTTTTGTACATGACCGAATTGCTGACAATTTAAGCAACGAACTACTTCTATATCGTCTATGAATCTACATGTGGCCCAGTCTATATAAAGTTTATCTTTTGTGTTGGCTAGATGTTTCCGAACTGCTGCCTCTAATTCTAAGCCTATCCATTGACGCCCATTTTCTAGTTTACGATGCCTAACAATTTTGGTTGACTTAATAAAATCATTCTCACTTAATTTTAATTCGTCCTTGATATTCTGACGGTATAAAGCTGTTAGAAAGGCACGATCTTCCATAGAACCGGGTACGTCTTTTACAATTATACGGGGCCTACGGCCTTTCGGTTTTTCTAAGCGCAACCCTACTGATTTAATGGCGTCCACAGATTCCAGTTTCTTAAGCTGCCGTTCGTTAGCTACACGTAACACGACGCCTGCCTTGGAGGTTTTTTTAACGCCTACAATTTGAAATCCCTCATCGCTCGGTTTAATAGCCTTCATGAGAGCTTGTTTCGTTGCTGACGAGGTCGCATAGTCCGCTAAGCGTTCCGTAGTGGGATAGGCAATAACACAAGGCCTAGGAACGCGCGCTTCAGTAGGTACCGGGCACGGAGCAGATTTAGGTGGTAATCGAAGCTTAAGTTTGTCCGCGTACGTTAAACTCGTTTGTTGAGTTGCGATACCCTCCATTTGTCGCTCAAAATTCGCTAACTTCGTTTCGTTGCTAGAGGATTTTATTGCTAACAAAGATACGATACCGGTAATTCGTTGAGTAATATCCATAATTGCCGTTTTATTACCTACATTCATCCGAGATCCCTGATCATTAACTAATTCATTGATTTTTGCCAAGTACTCGGTAGCCTGTGAGACTAACTCGCAGTAATTGTATTCCCCACAGTTATCACGACCGTTAAGAGACGAAACATTTCCACTTAAATCCGAATTATTAATTCGATTACTTCTATTGTCTTTCGGCGAGAAATCCGTAGGTGACATTTCGTTAAATGTCCTTTTCCCGGTTGGTGTTAGAAATTCACTTGTACCGCCGGGGTCCGGCAACTCGCTAACGACCGACATAGCCAAACAAAGACACACCAAACAACAATTTCAAAAGGAACAAGTTTAAAAATAAACAATACGCAGAGAAAAATCAATATAAACAAAGGACACCTCCTACCCACTTTTAGAAAGAAAATAAATTTACTCACCAATAGTCGTAATAAAATAATTCAGCACTATATTTCTGTTTAAAAAACAATAAAAACTTACTGATATTCTTTAAAACACTATACACAACCTTAAGCCGCCCGCAAACCGGGAACTAGTCGCAGAAAAACACAGAAAACAATATTTAAATTGTTAGCATATGAAGTCACACGTTAGTCGCACAGTGCCGCGAAGCCTTATCAGATTAGTTTTATAAACGCAATCACGGTGCTTTGTTAAAAGTGCTGACTAACTGCATTTGCAAAATGACTGTGCCCACGTTGCCCACGCCCAACTTTGACTGCACAGATGGCGCAGTGGTTGCCGCTTTCTACTGCACTGAGTGTTGATGGTTCGATCCTCATATGGAACAACACTTTGTGTGTTTCACAAATTGTTGTTCCGAGTCTGGCTGTACTTTGGGTCCGTTTGATGATGTAAAATCCCCCACAATACAGGATGTATTCCTAGTGCGTGAGTTTTTAAAAAAAAACATAGTAGCCTCTACGGTTTTAATTTATTTAGAAAGAAAAATAATCTTAACGTGTTACAAACATTATTATAGATACTTGATGAATAAACAACCACCTCATAAATATTTATTTAGGGATTACAAATAGACCTAGTAGGTTTTACCAGTAATACAGTACAATGTACCAAAATCCTGCAACAAAGGCTTATCGGAGAACTATTGGATGTTAATACCGAGAGCTCATCTTCCTACATATCCCATAAGAGACGTTTCTCATGAATAATATAATACAAGATCCGTAGTACGTTATAACTACAACATAAAATACATTTGCCAATTTTGACGTACATTATATGTATACTTCTTTTTCTATTATTGTAAAACTGTAAATTATTATATCGATACGATTGATCTGAATGTATATTAGGCAATATTAGGCAATATACATTCAGTTGCTAAAGAGCCTAGTCATAAATATCAGTTGACACAAGCAGCGTTGCCTCGGTGGCGCAGTAGTAGTTTTTGCGACTGCTATGCTGAGGTCTGGGTTTCGATTTCCGGGTCAGACCAATGTTTATATGATCTGTAAATATTTTTTTCGGAGTTTGGGTATCTTCTATGTATAAAATGTATGTATTTACAAAAAAAAAGTACATAAGTATTCTATCAGTCATTCTAGCTTACATAGTACAAGCTCTGCTTAGTTTGAAACTAGATGGCGTTGTGTGTCAGATGTCCGAAATATAAATAAAAATATAAAAATTAAATATGAATATATATTTTGTTACTTAAGATATTAATGTCTCATCAGCATAACTTAAACCACGTTTTTACAGAAAATAGACCTTTAAAAATAAATATACAATGCAAAACTTTACCTATATATAAATAAGATCCAAATCGTTGCAGGTGTCGCAATTATTATTTTAATCCTGACAATCAGGACGCAAAATTTCATCAGAACCTGTTACGACTCCACGGATGGCGTAGTGGTTTAAGCGGTCGCCACACCGCTTACTACTACGCTGAGTGTTGTGAGTCCGATCCATACATGGGACGACACTTTGTGTGATCCACAAATTGTTGCTCTAAGTCTGGGCACGGTACTATTATAATACAGTAGTGTAACTCGGCCGCATGATAGAAATAAATGCCTACAGCCGCGTGGTACGTAAACATGCGTTAGGGCTGCCCGTCTCCAGAATTTTAATTATATTTGCCTACTTTCTGTTTCTATTTAGATTTGTGATTGTAAATATCCTTTTTATATAAATAAATGAAATACTTTGTATATTAAATAGGAAGTGTTCAATAAAAATGCGTGTTGTTTTTTGATTGGTAGATTTAATTATTTTATTTTCGTTCTGCATTGGAGGAGTTCAAGTTTCAATTTTCTTTTTCTTGGAGTGTTGCTAGAGAGACTCGTTGAGGTTTGAGCAAAGATTTCATTTGTTGCATTTTCAGTCTGTGTACTATTTTCATTTCCTACCAACGGAGCAGTTTGGGTTTGTTTATCTTCTTTTAGAGATACTCCTGGATCAGTACTAGCTAAGCTTGGCAGCATCAACAATGGTAGGGCATTCTTTTTTAAAAGTTTTCTATTTGATGAATGTAATACATCCTCCAAATTAAAATGTTTTTCACAAACTTGGTAGGAACTAAAGTTAGGTTTGTTTTCCAAATCATCTCGCCGGATCAGTTGCAACCATTGAAGACGTCTGAAAAAAAATACATGTGACACTCTCGGCGACTGCCGCGGTAAAGCATAACATTTTTTTTTTAAAGAAAAAATCTGCGTGTTGTCAGGTATTTTTCGTTAGGTTTTGAGAATTTCTTGATTCGGTCACCGCGCCGCGCCGCGCTCAGAGCCCGCGATAAAAGCTATGCAATAGTTTAAAAATCCTTCTATAGAATAAAAAAAATGTGCTTTGTCCTTACGCGTTACAAAACTCCAATCCTTAGAAACTCCAACACCTACCTACTCAACTAGAATGCAAGAAACAGCTGACGAGTAAGTAACTTTTTATCTCAGCTTATTAACGTCTCTATAAATTAGGTACCTACCTACAACTCAAAACAAAAATTCTTTGGTCACCAATTAATTAATGATTAAAAACCTGAACAGCTGACTACGAATGTTTTAAAATCACAACCCTCAAACATCTAAATATTATATATGACTCTAACTGTTGTTGTTAATACCGAGAAAATGAAACCAGTTTTTAGTGGTATATGTTGTTATAGTAGCAGCAGAAACACTTTGTGAAAATTTCGAAAACTATCTAATGACACACAGACGGTAAAAAAATTTTTTCTAGTATTATTCATACACACAGATAATAAACCTTTATTATTAAAAATAAAATACCACGTCTTTACTTTGAATTATGCAAAGTAACAAAACACACATGCACCGAAGTTTTAACACAAGCGTAAGTAGGTAGGTACCTACCGTATCATGATTTATTCAGAACTGCATATAACTACCTATTTCACTCGTCTCAATAACTTTCCGTTACTCTATTCGCTTTATTTATTAATCCAACCACCTTTTTTTTCGTAAGATGAAAGGCAATACTTATCCATTAAAAAGACACACATTATGTACCTACCTACTAGTAAGTAAAATTATTTTATAGTCTTACCTTTCAGAGTTTCCAGGTAATTTAAAAAAACTTATGTCTGGATGCGTTATTGACGAATTCATACAACCAAAAGCAGCACAATATTTCCTACTCGTCATATTAACTGATTTTTAAATAAAAAAAACGCCCGGTTATTGTTAAAAAAACAACACACCGTCCGTTCGACACTGCGGTACAGCCGTGACTATCTGCGCCCCGAGCGCACCCCGAGATCGAGGCGCGTAGGTATAGCTCGCGTTTCGTCCGTTTGTATGAAGTTGGAGTACTGTATTATAATTGTACCGTGGTCTGGGTGTTCTTTGTGCCCGTTTCTTGTATGTTTATAAAGTCCCACAGACACAGGATATATTCCTAATCTGGGAGTTGTCTTTCTTTTTTAAAGAAGAAAAGAACCCAGATGCGGCTTATAAGCGTAACAAACAAACACAATCACTTTCATATTTATAATATAATTTTAAGCGGAAATAATATTTATTTTCTAGACAAAGTTTGGTGTTAGAAAATAAAGACGATATTTGGAATTGTGTTCGGATACGTAGAAGCCTGGAACATTTACAAGTCTATGTACTCTCGTACCAGATAAAACCGATATCAAAGGTTATCCAAAGTAGAGATAAAGTTGTATGTAAAGGCTTTGGAAACCTTGAAAATTTTGTTCATCAATGAAACTCCTGAGTTTGCCTTTTGTCTAATGATCTTTTGTGACGAGTTTGTATTCTGTGCCAACCGAGTATTAATGAATTATTCTGAAAGTTTTGCGAAATGGTTATAGATCTTAAACCGATTTTCTTTAAATGGCTGCTAAACAAAGATTAGAGTAAGTTTTTTAATGGAGTCAGTAATAACTATCTGGATAAGTAATTTTAGGAAATGCTTAAATTTTAACATGAAGGGAAAAAACGGTGACGAATTAAGGTTAATGGGACGGACGAACAAACTATTTTTAGTGACTATGTTTTTAATCTGACAAATACTTTTACACAGATGCAAACGACTGGTCTGTTGGTGTAGTGGTTAGTGACCCTGACTGCTACGTCAGAGGTCGTGGGTTCGATTCCCACCCAGGACAAATAATTGTGTGATGAGCACGGTCATTTGTTCTGTGTCTGGGTGTAATTTATCTATAATATGTATGTATTTAGAAATATATAAGTATGTTTATCAGCAGTCTGGTTACCATAGCACAGGCTCTGCTTAGTTTGAGACCAGACGGCCGTGTGTGAGATGTGTGAAAATATACAAAAAAAAAAGATGCAATATGCAATTTTCTTTGGATCTCAAAGCTAACTAAAAATTTTGCTCATATCACGAAATGTATGACAATACATCAGCAAATATGTATAAGACAATATATCTCGTAAAATTATCACTATTTCGTTGACGTGCAGCGCATTTGGGAAACTTTGGGAAGATTCTAGAAGGATTCCAAAAAGACTATCAGGCCTTATAGACTCTCTTTCCTTTCTTAGCCTTACTTTGAGATACAGAAAATTCAAAATATGTTAATATGATGTTTAAAATTTAAAGTCATGTTATTCGTATACGCACGTAACGCTTGATTAATATCTTACCCTAGGATTAGCATCTAGGTCACACTCGATGTCTATGACTTCACCTCTAGCTGCTCTCACAACTACCGGTTGCGAGGATCTGCATGTTGGCACAACTAGAACAAACAAATTAACATTAATAAGACCGAAAATATGATCGGTTTCATCACAAAATTATTTGTTCTATCTAAATAACGATCCTACGACCAACAAGATTCCAGTCACATATTATATGGCGCGTATGGGGTCTACCAATAAGAACCTACTGGTTTAAAAATTGAATAAAACAGACATTTTTTTTGCGCACAGAAGGAGCACTATGACGACCGTTTTTTGCGCGAAGCGCTCTTACTGTAGCGGTAGGAGAACGCGAATTTGCGTAATAATTTTGGACAATTTCCAAGCGTTGGTTGAAAGTGAAACGTGACATGATAAAATGGCAAACCTTACTGAAAACAAATGTCAAGAGACGTCAAAAATCCATCATCAAACATGGCCGCTATGAGCTGTCAAAACCAGGTCATCCCTATTGGTAGACCCAGTACTTATATTAGAAAACAAACAAACAAAATAAATGTACCATAGGATACTCATCTATCAACACTGAACTATTCCTCATTAATTTCCAATAACAAGTGGAATATTACACAATTATAAATTTTAATAAACGTTAAAAGCCGATAGCAGAATTACTTCCCCAAGTATTTACAACAAATTCAATATTGCTGATGAAAGGGTACTTCAATGTCACCCAAGTAACTGCCTCAGATATTAATCGTTGAACTTAAAGGCCGCACCGCAAAAACTTATAATATAAACTTTGCGAAATTTTTGAGTTTGATTGGGTACAGGCAACAATAAGAGCAATTGGAGATTTCACAGTAAGAACAAAATTTCTTTTTAAACAATTTACTTATTTAGCAAGCCCCTTCCTTTCTAACGATCGAACAGGTCACCTGATATAAGTGACTAGGCACTGAAGCTCATGAACAACTGCAGCTCAAGACTCGCAGGAGTGTCCGGTACATGAAGTATCTAGGCCTCGTTCTGGACAGTCGGAGTCAAGAGCATTTCGAGCGATTAGTCCCCGAGTGCTTGGGAGGTAGCAGGTGTACTGCATCGCCTGCTGCCCAATCGTGCGATCCTTAGCCCTCTATGCACCCGTCTGGTCTATTGACTTGGCGGGCCCCTCCCGCTGCAAGACTTTACTAAGAGACCTGCAGCGCTTGATGGCCATACGGATCATACGGGGCTACCGTACGAGTCGCATGAGTCGGCGACGGACCTGGCGCGATCTTCGCCCTTCGACATTCTGACATGGACGCGATGGTCTATAACCAACTTCACTCTGTTGAACTACAAACTAAGTTCGTTTAAAATTCGACGCTGTGACAGCACAGTAGCGTCGAATTTAAAACGTTCGACCCTGTTGCAGCGCTGTACGCAAGGCTATTTCCTTAGAGAATAGCACTGCTGGTCGGACAGATCGGACGAAATCTGTCACCTCCAGGATTGATCGCAAAAATACTGGCGAATGGGGAGGGATGGACAGCCGCGCTCTCCTGCCTTCTGCGAGAACGTTATGCTCCAGACCACAGGGCAGGATCGTGAGAGGTCGCTAGCTCCCCAATCACCGCCTAAGGGTCGCTGCGGCCACATGTTAAGGAGATGTGGCCGTATCATCTAAGACCGGGTGCTGTTACACCTCTTACTATGCAGAGCAGTGAGAAATGCGGCAGCGTCCTGCGTCTGCGAGTGACTACGTTTACCACGGGATGTGCCTCAGCCGAGGGGTACGGCAAGGACGACTCCAGAAGCCGCCGATACGTTGTCGGAGCTCCTCCCGACTGCCGAAGTAGGTCGCCGCGTGATTTAGTGGGTAGACCGATTCTCCGGGAGTCCCATATACGCCCTCCATTTCCCCAACGGAGGGTACGGTGCAAAAGCATGCCCCATTTGAGTGTCCCCCGCTTCAATTAGAGAGGAGGGGAGCATTTAAAGTGATTACTGCCGACCCTAGTCAGTAGTCAGAAGCAGATAGGTAATTTCTAGGCACTATACTTTAGTTAACACTTACATTTGACATCCAGAATAAGATTCTCACTAGAACCTTCTCCCAAACTATTCCTCGCCGAGCAGACGTAGGCTCCCGCAGCTTTTCTCGACACCCGTTGGAGAACCAAACTCTGGTTTGCTAAAAGTACTCCAGGACCTGGTTTGACTGTGACACCCTGTTGAAAAAAAAACCAGAGTTATCAAACTACTCTAGCAAACTGGAAAGCCTTATTATAATTGACTTTGACAATAAACAAAAATACTCTTCAGGTGTTTTTTGTTTTACATACCTTTGTCAAGTGACAAAAGTACTCGTATGTAAAACGACCTTAATACTTCGGCACATATGGGCCCGTTTGACCCTGCCCATTAGATTAGACATATCAAGGACCTTTTAATAATTCTCAAAAATAGGTAATCGCGCAAATTGGCTTAAATTTCTTAAAATCATTTAGATGAAATTTACTGGTATGTTTCAACACTTATAAATGCGATTATAGTATCTTTGAGGTAGATATTATTAATTAAAGTTTGTAATGAAGTCAGTTTACAATCGGAAAATATATCAGTGGGCAAGTCACGTCTTGAAGTTGTCTCGAGACTCTCTTCAGTTTAAAAATATCAAGGCAAAATGATGCTTTAAAATATCAAAGAAAGCTTCCTTCGTTTGTTATCTGCCGAGTGTCTGAAGTCTTTGGACGGCTGGCAATTAAACTTGTTGCTAATTATACTTTTTGTAACTCTTCCTGAATACAAATAGGTTCATATTTTAATTAGATTGGCGCTTTTCTTCTTCTCCTCCGTAATTGGGCTAGTCTTGGGAGAGGCGTAAAATTTATTTATGACATAAACATAGGACATAACTGTTTGTTTAATCTACTTAAAGTTAAATATCAGATATAATATTCATTTCTTTAACTATATGTGTCTTCACTACCGTGGGAGAGCCACGAGCCATTCTTTTGTTGATTCAAAATCAACAAAAAGAGTGACAGAAGAACAGAAGTGTTTGGATTAGAAGAGTCCAAAACTCTCCTCACCCTGTATTTGGGAGATAGGGGCCTCAAATGTCCGTGTAGTGACGGATTAAGAATACTGAGTATCACCACCCCTATTCATCCCGTGGGTATCGTTAGAGCCCACTAAGGGAGCAGGACAACAGCACTGCAAAGAGACGGAAAACTTGAAACAAACCCTATACCAACCCATCTGGTCGGCGTAGTTTAGTAGGCCAAAAGCTCCTTTCTAAGGTCCAGGTCTTTCCTATGTCCAGCAGTAGACTATTAAAGGCTGTTGATGAGGGGCCTCCAATAGCGGCAACGCACTTATCACTCTTGAGTTGTTAGTGTGCGTGGATAGCTAGTAACTTACCATGAGGTGCCTTGTCTGCTCAATTGCCCCATCCCATAACCAACCAACTAAACAAACACCCGACACTTAGAATTAAGCGATGGTACCTCTTCTTATTTTTAAGAGTAAAACAGCTACAATGTCAATGTCATGAGAAATTTTCCAATCGCATACGTAAATATGTCATATATTTATTGTTAATTGAGAGAAAGCAAAATCAATAATATTGGTTTTGTCACTCTTTTCGCTACCAAGCGGTACACATATTATAATATTAGCATAAAAATATTGCAGTGGATAAGGCTATAGGATACTTACATTATGCGTAAAATAAACATGACTATGCCATGGGTTTGCACGGACCCTGCAGTCTAAATACACGTCTGACCCTTCCACCACCTTGCTTGCATCCAAGTTGGCGCCTAGCTCCAATTTTGCCACCGGAAGATCTGTCAACAACAAACACTTATTATCACAAGTTCCATCTTATATTGGTTAATAATGTTCAGCGTAATTATTGTACAATAGGCAATATTATGATAAAAAAAACATAATTATTGCATTTTCTTCTGGGATATGATGCATACTCTTCTATTATGGGTGCTAGATAATCGATATACCTATGCTGCACCCATTTCTAACCAACTGTTGTGCAGCTGTTCACTGAGTGAGCTAGATTACCGGAGAGCACACCTCCCCCTCCCGTCCCCATGATTCTGAAGGGGAGGGGATTGCCACTCTTGAGTTGCAGGTGTCCATGGGCGACGGTAGTCACTTACCATCAGGTGACTCGTTTGCTTCGTAAACCATTAAAGAAAAATATTAATACAGCTATTAATATCTCTGTGTGGTGAAGGATTAAGAATACAGAGTGTCACCACCCCTATTCATACCGTGGGTGTCGTAAGAGCCGACTACGGGAGAAAACTATGCAGGGCAACATCACTGCTAAGAGAAGGAAAACTTGAAACAGAAACTATACCAAGCCAGCTGACCAGTTGTCCAGCAGTGGACTATTTAAAGGATGTTGAGGATGATGATGACAGCTATGAAAACCACGGAGCCATGATAACCATTATCGTTAAAAGATATAAGGTACTAGTAACAAATTAACACATAATCGTTTTATACTTACGTTGTATCTCCATTTTCCAGCCATCCTCGTGTGTAGAATGAGGCAGACTTGTTTGAATAGCCCTGCACGATATTACTCTGCCAGCGTCTTCTATTGACGGCACGAAGGTGAGAATACTGTTGGTCACGTTTCCATCCGCAGAACTCTGGCAAAATAACATAAAATATATATAGTTACAAGTCTCCGACTTTAAACAATCAGTTCGAGTTACAGATAAGAAGCATAAACACAAAAAATATATTTAAGAGTAACATTTTGTACTTTCTTTTTTTTCTTTCTTTTAAAAAAGACAACTCCAGTATTAGGAATATATCCTGTGTCGCGGGGGACTTTACAAACATACATAAAACAGACACTAAGAACACCCAGACTCAGAACAACAATTTGTGGATCACACAAAGTGTCGTCCCATGTGGGGTTCGAACCCACAACACTCGACGTAGTAGCAAGCGGCGTGGCGACCGCTTATACCATAACGCCATCCGTGCAGTCAGTACTGTTTTGACATGAAAATATAAAAATATCATATTTCCCTGAATGCTAAACTAATAATTTTCTGTTCATGGGAGACATTGATGGATGCTTAAATTGTTCACTATTATGAAGGTTGATGTTTTTATTACTGCAATAAAACAGCTTGTCAATTGTCGTTGAAAACCCTAGTAGATGGGGTAAATATAGAGTTATGTTGCCACCACACAGGGTTGATGCCAGGTAATAAATATTAAAACTACTTATCTAGTTCATAGGTTATTAGAAACTATGAAAGGATGAACGGCTCATCCGTAGCAAATATTCCGTTTCTAATAACTTGACGTGTGAAAATTACTATGGTAGTTTAAGTCAATACTTGACTGGTATTTTTAGTTGTAGTACGCTTTTTTTTATTACAATGTTAGGTAATTTCATAACGTAACCTCTCCCTTAAGCCTAATATTTATCAGGCGGGCTAACTTATAGGGGTTCTTGGGCTGGGTGTGGGGTATCCCGAGTTCCGAATTCTTTGTCTGCAACAGGCTCACTTGTGACGGAATACCGGGTGGTTTTAGTCAGTTCTAGTCCGATACAACACTTCATTCTCAGCTCTGGTGAGGTTATGTGACTCGCGGGAAACGTCCACACGGAAAAAAATAGGACCTTGTCATACCCCGCATTTACATATGGGTTTATAGTCAGTCTCACGATACAAGAGAAAAAAAACATTGCACTATCTTTTTTTTCTTTTTTAAATGATAGTTAAGGAGATTAACGTGATTAAAACCTCGACCTTTATATTACAATATCTACATAAATTCACCATGCCCTTTAATTCTCTTTCGTCTCAATTATTTAAACATGTTAAAAAAGAACTGAAAATAAAACCATATCAGGATCAGAGTAGTCAACCCTATACTCGTATCAATCAATCAGATTCGAATCGAAGTGCCCATTACCGATCGTGGATACATTTAAAGTTTCAATACTAGTCTGTTGTAATGACAAGCATCCATTGTACTGTCTCCTGAACTGTCTTGATGGTCGTTATGTTAGGGGCTAGGGGTAAATAGGTTCACTGACGCGATACTAAGTTTCTAGCGACATCTATTAGGCAGTTAGAGTGACTATATATTGCGATTTTCAATAAAAGATGGCGCTTAGTTGTTTAATATTTAAATTATAAACATCTAAGCGCCGCGTTTTTTAAATCTCTCAAGAAACTCATCAGAAGGGGGAAATTTAAATGTTTAATTAACTCTCGAAATCGATTCATATCATCATCATCATCTTAGACGAAAGACGTCCACTGTTAGGGCTCCCTGAAGGTTGGCCACAAAACCCGGGACCGACCTGGCATCCAAGGGCTACCCGTCGACCCCCGCGACGCGAAGGAGGTGAACTCCTTCAAAATCGAAAAATCACTTTAAATTAAAGAAAATTCAACTTTTTATTTTTATAAACAAATATGTCAGAACTGCATTTGACTGGAGAAAAGTTATCTAGCTCACTCTCTACCTCCAGCACTTTGGCGGTTTAAGTTCAGTAACTAATGAACTGATACTTTACACAAAAAAATTTTTCTTTTTTTTAAATATTTAACAGATTTTTCTTAAACTCTAGATGACCAGTAACAATCCTATGAATTTCGTATCATCCACAATTTATTTAAGAACATATATAAATTACCAAGAGCTGGCCTCTCCCTAATCCGACCCTATCGCATTGCCGAACCTTTTCTCGCTTATCCATAGGACTAAGTTCAATATTTTCTTACCTACTAATAAACTATTCCTTCCCCTACGAATGTACGAGTATGTCTCCTTATCTTTACTATAAAGAAAGATTGCAAGTTATGTGAGCTTTATGTAATCTTTGCCTTAGATACGGGTACTTTTGCCAGACATAAGCTATTATATATTATATAATTCTTGTGTACGTGTGTATGTGACTGAACTCCTCCTAAATGGCTGGACTCGTTTTGATGAAATTTGAGATTGAGATTTTCGTGTGTGTTCAAGTGGTTTTGAGAATGGTTTAGCGTCACAATTCGATCGACAACAAAATGTTTTAGGACGAATGAGAGATTTAAGACGTATGTACAGGACAACGTCTGTCGGCTCCGCTAGTATTATTATATAGATCATAGGTCACCAATTTTTTTGATTCATAGGCAACTTGCCATATTTTTAATTTTAACTGCATAACTAATTTTTAAAAAGCTATTAAAGCCCAGTAATAGAAATAAGTAGAAGTAATTCTTCTGGAAAACGAAATTATTTATTGTCTACATTTACATGTTTTCTTTAAATAAGTTTCCAATTTTTTAATAATGTTAGTGGGTTTTTTCATAATTTATTAAATTTAACTCGTTTTTCTGTTTAAAGTGTTCTTACTTTGGCTACTTTAATTAATTCTACCATTATACGCAAATTGGTATCTTTAAATTAGTGAAATATTTCGGTGTTATACGGTACAGTGTCAAAATATACACCGATAGAATGTTTAATTATACATTGCAGAAATGTTTTTGTTTTTTCTTGACATGTTTTTTTTTTTCGTTTTGTTTAAAAAATAAATCTCGCAATAGAAATACATCCTTTTTCGCCTTTACAAACATACATGAAACGGACACAAAGAACAATCAAACTCAGGCAACAATTTGTCACAGAATTCATTTAAAAGCCGTAGATGGCCCGAGGTGCGACGGGGTACCAGGGCTTTTCCTTCTACGGTATACCTGGTTCATCAGCTACTAGTACCTGGAGACGACGTGCGGTTTAAAATCGGTTCGAGTTTGACATAACTACTCTACTGGTAGGTGGTATCCGAGGAGAGTTCCGCACAGAAAAAAAGGACAAAAATTTGTGGATCATGCAGTGTTGTCCCATATGGGGACCGACCCCACAACACTCAGCGCAGTGACCACTTAAACCACTACGAAATCCGCAATCAGCCACATAATTGGTAACCATGCCAATTAGGAGAATTTCGTTGAAAGCAGTAGTAGGAAATAAATCAGACCAGTATTCTACCCCGCTACGGTAAGTAATTGTTTTGAAATAGTTTCGTGAAGTGCTGAGTTTATAATAATATTATAGTTTCAAAATTGAATAGTTTCAAGTTTAACTATCAAAGCGGAAATATGTTTAACACATACCTATTGGTATATTGGAGAGGATATTTTGAGTTGAGTTGACTTGAGTTTTAGTTAAAATATGATCGGAGTTTCAATCACTGGTGGAGCACGAGGTGCTTTTATATATAACGTGAACTGCTTGTTTGCCACCTTAGTTGTATTAATAATGTTTTTATTTATTATTTGATTAGTTAATACATACCACGGTTAGGTTTAGCACGCGTAGTGATTGTAAGTTAACGCTTGAGACGTTCCTTACAGTTTCCTCATTTGTGGTGATTGCTACCCTAATAAACGTAGCGTGTTATTATAAAGCCTTGAAATATGATTTTCGCTATCAAATGCAAAAAGATTTATTCAAATCTGACTGCTAATTCAAGAGATTATGGAGAGCAAACAATAAAAAATAGCGTATGTATGTATATACCTCCTTTCTTAGGAGAGGCCTATGTCCAGCTGAGGACTATAAAAGGCTGTTGATGATGATGACATGTATATATATGTAGGTATATGTATGTATGTAAGAAAGTTTTAATGAAGATTTATTTATTCCTTTTTCTATCCTCATTTTGTCGCTTATCTTTTCGTGTGAATGTATTTCATAGTTAACTTTAGTTATTGAAACTTTTTATTCAAGTTTAGTGCTCCTATATATATATATAATTCTACACCACCTCAAGGTAGACTGGCAGAGAATGCCTACGGCATTAAGTCCGCCTTTGTATATTTTTTTTTGTGCATAAAGCATTAAATAAATAAATAAAATAAACAAGAGGATTCGTACATTATGAACGTAAACGTTACAACAAATGTGACGCCAGACGTCGTCATCACCCGATGCTACACTCGCTGATAAAGTGCCCCCATCAGGTCTAAAAATAGTTCACCTACTTTAAAATATACACGCGAATTAAATCGTTCATGTAATATAATACTCACAGTTTCTCTAATAGTCTTGAGCCTGGTTCCTCCTTTCCACCAGGAGATCGTCGGCTTCGGTCGAGCCCCTACGGCTTGGCACGTCAGCTCCGTACTCTGCCCAGCTACTAAAGGCCGCTTGCCGCCTTGAAGACGCACCCAGAGGGGGCGTACTGTGGACAAAAAGGCTTCTGTCATCATCTGTCTAAAAATCATAATTTTCCTAATTGTGGATCACCACAATGTTTGGTTTGACGGTCCTGTTGGTCTAGTGGTTAGTGCACCTGAGTGCTAAGCCGTAACGTAGGTTAGATTCCCACCCAGGGAAAATAATTGTGTGATGAGCATGATCATTTGTATTGTTTCTGGGTGTAATATATCTAAAATAATATATGTATGTATTTAGAAATATATAAGTATGTTTATCAGCAATCTGTTTACCATAACACAGGATCTGTCTAGTTAAGGACCAGGCGGCCGTGTGTGTGATGTGTAAAATTATTGTAATATATGCTCGGCCGTCCTCTTAACGCCAACTCTCCTTATTTTCAGGTGGAACAAAGAATGTAAGAAGAGTGGGTAAGAAAGAATGATAATGCGAGGGAGCCAGGATAAGGTATAGTGCTAGTCCCTGACAGAAGGATAGTTTTGTTTTTTGAGTGTTTATTTGTTTTGTGTCTCTAGTCTAAACGGTTTAATATATTTTGGCTTGGGAAGTGTCGTTACATATGTCTTAATTGTAAAAGTGACACTAGGTAGGTATTTGAAAATTACAAAAATTAAAATTACTTGATCGTAAATTTTAACTACCTATAAATTTACAGCAGTCGGTTTTTTTTGTAATAATTAGCTTGTATGTCGTCAACTGATTGGATTGGATGTAGTTATTGAAATAATGATGACGGTATTATACATTTTCATATTATTATGCTATTTCAATTTTAACTTATTTATTTGTAATTTTAACTTTTGTCTTGATTATTCCTATGAAGTTCTAGTACAAATACTGGGTACAAACATTCTTTAACAAATTCATAATATCAGTTTAAGTATACCAAATTATTCACTGCGCGGATGGCACAATAGTCCCACGTAATATGCAGCGTCGAGTGTTGGGGGTTTGTATACTATACGGTACGAAAACTTGTGTCTACAATGTTTTTTTGTTATATTACTCCCATGTTAACTTTTCTAAATATACACTTACACATGAAGCCTTGTTGTTTACCTTTCCTATCCAAATGACTTTGTTCATTTATTAAAAAGACTAAAAGGATACTCAAAACACAAAGATAATTGAATTTTAATGACCATTTTCAATTAAAATTATATCGAGATCATCAGAAATAAATTAACACGTACGCCTATCAAATATCAATCATTTATTTGAAATTAATGGTTCAATAGAATGGGTGGGTGCACCAGGTGGTGACGCCACATGTCCCGATTAGGGTTTCTGATAACGGACGGTAGCTACCACTTTTGGTGAGAAGAAATATTCTTACTTTTCTTTCTTTATAATTCTTATATTCAATAAGTAGTCAGATAGGTAGCAAACAATTTAATAAAAGCCAGAAAATTACACAGCCACCATAACACTAAGACATATAAATATTTTTTTATTATAATAAAAAATCCACACAGTCACGCTTAATAATTTAGATTAAATTAAATAAATGTAAATAAATTAAATTAAGTTCCGACCCATACTTTTAGAATATTCTAGAGACAAATAAAAGGGGCAGACCCACATTTAAGATTTGTTATATTTAGTTTTCTTCTTCTCTATATAGAAAATGTGTCAAAACAATGCATGTTATATTTGCCTATAAGATTTGTTACACTAATATTGTTTGTTCGTGTCATTTTGCGTGTAAATAAATGTTGGCAACTTTCAATTTATAAATAAACAAATTTAACAAAATGAGAGAGGATCCGTACTATTCTACAGAATGAGATCAATGCATGAAGTTAGGAAGTTTTATACTAAATATCGTGAGAACTTGCATTGCGTGATACAGGATTAGTTACAAAACAATTTAGCGTGTTTGGCGGCAGAGAGGTTTAGTTGTACCCGGAACAATTACAAATGTTTTTGGTAACCGCAAAAGTTGTCAAGTCTCATCGTGTTTTTAGTAGAAAAGAAATTAATAATTTAGTTCACCTTTCGTGACGATATAATTGGCATGGCAACGTACTAAGTCTTAAACTGAATACTAAAGAAAGTACATCATAATAATATAGTAAATTACTAAAAAAAACTCAACGTCAAAAGTTCAACTTTTAGAGCTGACGATTTTATAAATTCATTGTGGGCTTCAACAATAGCCCACTTGTGGGGAACAAAGGCTAACTTAACTACGATTCAAAAGATTCCGATCCCTTTTTTTATTTAGAACACTTAAGACAATTAAGCAGGGCTTTTTTGTTGCTTAACCCTTTTTAGCGTACCGTGTGGTAGAATACAAAAACCTTTTAATAAAATACAATAGCGGTTTGTGGGTTTTGACGGTTTAAATTAAGTTTTTCAAAGACTGAAATTTCATTTGTTTATTTAGCTGTCCAATGAATTTAGCTTAAATATTAATAGGATATAAAGGTAGATAATTCTTAAGTGACATTTATTATTTGTCTTGTTGTAGCCCCTTGGGCATTGTACGACCGAACAAAAGGTAGACATTCTATAATCAATTGATAAAAATCGTTATTTATTTTGTTATAAGTGGGAATGGGTGAGTGAGACACGGCTAATTATTAAGAGTGAGGAATTTTAGCAGCAGAATCTTTATGAAAGGTGCCCCGGGATAACTTGTTATATCTTTCCCATCGGGGTAGGGCAGACGCTTGTCTCTGAATTTCATCATTATTCCCCCTTTATCATTGAGGCTTGATATCTTTTAACGCTTGCAATATAAGTCTACCAAGGGACGCCTTCTGTTTCCGTACTATAAATAGAATCATTAATCTCGAAGAGAGCGAAATGTTCTGCTATTGTTCGTGTCCACACGCTTCGTTGAACTTTTACCAACAGACAAAATGTAAAGTGCTTAGTAAAATAAACAGTCTTGAAAAGGGAAAATCCAATTTTCAAGGAGGTAAGTTACATACCACGAGTGACTTTGATTTTGCGTCTTAACGCTCATGAATTGACACTTTGCATAGCCTCTGATATTTATTAAATAAGTAATTTTATAGATCATGATTACAACAAGTAACCACAAATCTCATATAATTGTTAATGTTTAAACGAACTTTAGGTATGCCTTCAAAATCAAACGCATAAAAATGGCTACTAATATAACTATTAAAATAAATATCATGTAGCAAGTTAAATTGCCCCCGTGATAAATTCAGGAATTTTATTCGCTTTGTAAAAATTGCGGAAATGTACGGATCCCATGACGAAAAAGAAATAATCAATTAAAGCAACAACTTCTTTATATTCTAAACTAAACTTAATTGTATTAACCGGAAAGTTTAATTTAGACTAACCGTCTTATTACAGTGGTCGTTTAAAAGCAGGTAGGATTCAATGTGAAATAAATTTTAATTTACGATGTTAAGGTTCAAACTTAGGTGAAATCATAATGAATGGAGGTGTAAAATCAAAGGTGTGAGAAGTTTTGATATTGAGTGCGAATTTTTAACTTATTGTTTTAAAGTGGCGTGATACGGCGTAGTTTAATTTTTCAAGGTGTTTTCAAGTGAAGTACTTCTGTTGTTCTCTGTTATTTAGAGCTGTGAAGAGGCTATATCGTGTGTTATACTCGTAGTGTGTTATATTAAATAAGGGAATTTCCGGTTTAGAGAGAACTGCAGATACTAAAATAGTGAAATTATTGGTTTTTATTTCTGTATAAATTAAGGTAGGTTTGTTTAGAGTTAGTGATGCACTTTAGTAATGGGAAAGCTTGCAGGTGTTCTTAACTAACCGTCATAAGTCTATGTATTTTGCATTAAAATAGATTATGGTCTTAAATAGCACATAGAGTACTTTTATCCAAGAAAAGTTAATCCACAAAAGCGACAATAATGTGTGGTTAAAGTTATTGAAGTAGTAGTTGTTCGTGTATGTATCATCAACATCAGCCTATCGCAGGCCACATACATACACATCTCCATAGGCATCTCCCATTGCACGCCACTTCGATTGATTTTCGGCATATAAGGATCTAGTAATTCAATTCAGATCCACAAAAAGTAAAAGCGGAGGGTAACAGCTTTAATCCTAATTTTAACTTCAACATATTTTTATTTCTTTGTTACGGATTCTAAAACAGTTCAACTATCCATGGGTTCGCCACATGTCATGTTCGGCGTTCTTTTCGATCTTTGTTGTTAATCCTTTTTGTACAGCTATTGGAATATTCTTAAAATTTCTACAATATTTTAAGATATGTATTATGAAAGGCTGTCAACATCCACAATAAAACTTCGGACGTAAATGTTTGTTTTCTTCGAAACGGGTTCAGCAACAAGGGACACGGAAGTCGAGTTGTATGAAATATCGGATAAGTTTCCAACTTTGATGACGTCCATAGTGGCCCTCCAGTGATCATGTTTCATTATTTTGACAGAATAACTTTGAGATAAAATTCACTTTCGAAAGTTAGACATGGCGCAAACAGGGTTAAGTTTGAAGTTCAAAAGGTGAGTTACTTGATAGGGAAACTTTGATGGTTTCAAAGGCATGATTTCCGATGGGTATGGGAGTCTGGTCATGGCTGTTTAGGAGTAGCCGGAGGCTTCAATCGTTTAGAAGTGGCTTCGTTAGATACCTTTGATGTTATTATCTTAATTTTATTTAACACGGCTTCTGTAGGCTTGTTAATAGAAAACTCTATACTTCTGATATGTTGAGAAAATACAAAAAGAGGAATAATCATGATATATTCATACTTATATTACAAATGTGAAAGTGAGTATGTTTGTTTGTAACGCTTTCACGCCTAAACCACTAAACCGATTTTCAAAATTCTTTCACCAATGGAAAGCTACATTATCAGCGAGTAACATACATACTTTTAACAGCAATAACTAACATAATATACATATAAATGTTTAGTTAGTTTGTGTGCGCTTCAAAAACCCAAAAGTACTACACCGATTGAGCTCAAATTTTGACACGATATACAACAGGCTTCAAAAATGGTTTTTATCTGTTGTTCGTGTTACATTTGTTCCTCATTTTTATCAATGCA